GCTCTATTCTTTCCCAGTGATCACAGGCTCATTGATCTACAGCAGGAAAGGGCATTAGAGGCCACTAAGGCCAATCCCCCTCATTTTACAGATGAGGAAATTGAGGAACAGGCTCACAGAGCTAGTAAATGTCTGAATCAGGAAACACCAGGTCCCATGCTGCCTCTTTACAGTGACCCGTGTGTTATAGAGATAAAGGGAAGTGACTTGTTCAAGGTTATATAACAAGCTAGTGGCTGAGCTGGGATTAGAACCCAGGCCCATTTCTTTTAGCAGTGTTCTTCTCTCCCAAAGCACACCACTGCCTTAGGCCCTGAAATATGGGAGCCATAGCAAACTGACTTTCTCTAGTTTCATTTGGGGGTACCTCCCTCACTTTATTATGATGTGTGCTCACACCTTACTGGTAACCTCAAAAAAAGATTATCAAGGTAAATCCTGCAAGTGTAGACACATGGTTTGCAAAGAGCTTTCCTCACAACCATCCAGGAATTATTCTTATTTGACAAATGAGGAAACTGAGTATTGATGAGGATGACTATTTGCCCATAGTCACACAGCTATGTGAGCTGGGGGATTAGGCAAGCCACTGCTTCCCTTCATGTACACAGAGAGAAAGGAGCTCTGTATGGGGGTGAATATGTGTGTCATACACATGCATGCAAGTGAACACACACACACACACACACACACACACACACACACACACACACGATTCCTGAGAAATAATCTTCAGAAAGGATTGGACTGACCCAAATCCTATCTGGCCACAAAACTTTCATTGCTTCAGCCTACAAAACCTAGAACTTCATCACGACTCTCTCCACACATCCAAGCATGGTGAAAAGAATCTGCAGCTCTAATGTTCTAAGGCCTCCCAGCTCAGAAATTCTGTTCTAAGCTGTACCACCCCTACGCCCAGCACAGACATAAAATGTACTAAACCCCTCAGCTCTCTCAGCTCTGAAATTCTCTAATCAAAGGTTCCTGCCAGCTCTGTCACTTTTTGTTTCAACATTCTATGTTCTAAGATCCATCCTAGCTCTAACATTCAATGTTCTAAGCAGCTCCCCAGCTTTGACATTCCATGTTCTGAGGCCCCTTACGATCCTAACATTTTAGTTCAACATTGTAGCTCAACATTCTATGTACTAAGGTCCCCTCTTGCTCTGATGATGAATGCTGTAAACACCTCCCCAGCTCTTACATTCCACATTCTAAAGTGCCCCTCTCCAGTTGTGATATTGTGTGGTCTAAGGTCCCTCCAAGCTCTGACACTCTTTGTTCTAAGATCCTTTCCAGTCCTAACATTCTCTGTTCTAAGGTCCTCCCAGATCTGACACTCTATGATTCAACATTCTATGTTCTGAAGTTTCCTCTAGATTTAATATTCAGCGTTCAAAGCACCTTCCAAGCTTTTATATTTATTCCATGTTCTAAAGGACCTCCAAATTTTGACATTCAATGTTCTAAGCACCTCTCAATATCTGATGTTCCTTATTCTAAGGTGCCCCTCAGTTCTGACATTCCATGATCTAAGGTCCAGGCCACCCCAGCTCTGACATTTTTTGTTCTAAGATCTTTCTCGGTCCTGAAATTATCTGTTCTAAGCTCATTCTTAGCTCTGACGCTATATGTTTCAACATTCTATATTCTAGGGTCCCCTCTAACCCTTCAATCAATGTTCTCCTCCCCAATAAAGTGTCCTCAACCTCTGACATTATGTGTTCTACAGTGCCCCCAACATCTGAAATTCTTTGTTTGAAGGTCCCTTCCAGGCCTGATATTCTCTGTTCCAAGGAACTTCTAAGCTCCAACGTTCTTTGTTTAAAATTTCTATATACCAAGGTCCCCTCTAGTTCTGATATTTGATGAGGAGAAGGATGATAATGCTGATGACGATGATGATGTTCAGTCGTTCGGTCATATCTGACTCTCTGTGACCCCATGGATCACGGCGTGGCGGACCCCTTCTATCCTCCACTATCTCTCAAAGTCTGTCCAAAATAATAATAACAGCTAATAATAATGGTAATAGAGGCAGCTAGGTGGCACAGTGGATAGAACAATGGGCCTAGAATCAGGAAGATCTGAGTTCAAATCTGGCCTCAGATACTTGCTAGCTGTGTGACCCTGGGCAAGTCACTTCACCCTGTTTATCTCAGTTTCTTCACCTATAAAAAGAGCTGGAGAAGGAAATGGCAAATCATTCCAGTATCTTTGCCAAGAAAACCCCAAAAAGGGGTCATGAAGAGTCAGACATGACTGAAAATTACTAAACAACAACAAAATAACAATAATAGCTAAAATTTATATAGCACATACCAAGTATCAGGCAATGACCTAAGGACTTTACGATTATCTAATTTAATCTTCAAAATAACCTTGTTCTCATTTTGCAGATGATGACACTGAGGCAAACAGAGTTTGTTAAAGCCTGTGAGGTGGCATTGGAATTCAGGTCTTCCTGACTCTAGGCCTGTAAACTCTATTGACCAGGGCACAGAGCTTCCTCAATGTCATAAGCACCTCCCCAGCTCTGACATTCCATGTTCTGGGGTATGCCTCATCTCTGATACTCTCTGCATTCTAAACTCTCTTCTAGCACCAACATTAAGTGTCCTAAAGCACTTTCCAAGTTCTGACATTCTTTGTTCTATGGGCTGCCCAGCTCTGACACCTTATGTTTCCACATTCTATATTCTAAGGACCCCTCTAGCTCTGTCAATCAATGTTCTAAGGAGCTCCCAAGCTCTGACACTCTATGCTCTAAGATGCTCCCCATTTCTTCCATTCTGTTTTCTAAAGTCACTCCCAACTATGCCACCCTTTGTTCTAAAGGTCCTTCCAGTTCTCATATTCTCTGTTCTAAGCCGTATGCCAGAATGGATACTCTATGCTTCAACTTTGTGTATTCCAAGGCACCCTCTCGCCCTGACTTCAATGATCATGACGACAATACTAATACCAACAGCTCATGTTGACAGGCCATTTAATTTACTAAGTGCCAGGCACTGAGATAAGGGCACTACAATCATCTCACTTAATCCTCACAATAACCCTGTGAGACAGGTGCTATTGTTATTACCCTTCTACAAATGATGAAACTGAGGCAAACTGAGGTGAAGAACTTCAGGGTCATGCAGGTGATAAGGGTCTGAGGCTGCATTGGAAATCAGGTCTTCCTGACTCCAGCCCTGATAATTCTGCTCAGAAGGCCACAGAGCTTCCTTGAGGCTCTAAGCACCTCTCCAGCTCTGACATTCCATGTTCTACAGTTCCTTCAGCTCTGACATTCTATTTGTTCAACCTTCTATGTTCTAAGGGCCCCTTGAGTTCTGACCATCAATGTTCCACTGAGCCTCTAAGTTTGGACATTCACATTCTGAGGTACTCCCCGCATCTAATATTCTGTGTTCTGAAGTCCCCACCTCCCAGCTATGACACCCTTTGTTCTAAAGTCCCTTCCAGTTCTGACATTCTCTGTTCTAAGCTGTATGCCAGAATGGACGCTCTATGCTTCAACATTCTACATTCTAAGCTTTTTTCTAGCTCTGCTGTTCAATTGCTGCTGCTGCTGATGATGATGATGATGATGATGATAGCTAATATTTATATGGTGCTTACCATATACCACACAAAAAGATTATAAATGTTTTATAATTAATACCTCATTTTAACCAGAAAATAACCCTGTCAGACAGTTGCTATTATTCCCCTCATTTTGCAGATGAAGAAACTGAGGCAAACTGAGGTTAAAGGACTTCCCCAGGGTCACACAGCTACTAACGGTCTGAGGCTGCAATGGAATTCAAGTGTTCCTGCCTCCAGGACTGCAAACTCTACTGACCAGGCAGGCCAGAGCTCCCTCGATGCTCTAGGCACCTCCCCAGCTCAGATATCCCATGTTCTGAGGTGTCCCCCAGCTCTCACACTCTATGTTTAGGTCCCTCCTAGATCTGACACTCTGGTTTACAACATTCTCTATTCTAATATCCACTCTAGCTCTGACATTCCACATTCCATGTTTAAGGATTATTTCTAGTTAATGATTCCATTCCTGTGTAAGTGAAATAAGCAGGCTCAATCACAAGAGAAGCCATTCTGAACACTTGTAAGAAGCTTTGGCAAGGTCTTGTGAAACGGGGGAAAGAAAGATGTGACAAAGCCAACTCCTTGGGAATATCAGGCCTTTCCCTTGAGGGACCACCTTGGGTTAGGGCTCCAAAAAGGCCCATTTGCCAATGATGCTTTTGTCTTTTCTGGTAAAACATGTACGTGAATTCCAATATGATAATATACACAGACTTAAAATGAGGAAGACCTGAGTTCAAATCTGGCCTCAGTCATTCACTATCTGCATGACAATAAGCAAGTGGCTCAGCTCTCCTCAGCCTCAGTTTCCTTATTTGTAAAATAGGGATAATAATAGCCCCTACCTCCCAGGGTTTTGATCAGGCTCAAATGAGATAATAGTACATAAGCTAACTGGTGCAGTGGATAAAGGGGTGGACTGGAGTCAGGACCTGAGTTCAAGTTCTGCTTCAGATACTCACTAGCTGTGTGACCCTGGGCAAGTCACTTAACTTCTGCCTGCCTCAGTTTCCTCATCTGTAACATGAGAATAATAATAATAGAACAAGAATAGCTGCCGAAGTTGTTGTGAGGGTAAAATGAGGTAACATTTGCAAACCTTAAAGCATTATATAAATGCTGGTGATTACTGTTGTTGTTTTGCAAGTTTTTAAAAATAAGATGCAAAACCAGGCTGGGGTCTCTAGCCAAGTTCACAATTATTTCCAGTGATAGGGAATTGGAAATTCACAAGCAATCTGGTAGGGCATTGGGTAAGAGCGCCATCCCCCCAGGGGGATTCTGAGTCTCAAATGAAATAACATAATTGAAGCACTTTGCAAACCTTAGCATGCTCTAGAAATTCAAGCAGTTTTCAAAAACAATCCAAACACCCCATTTTATCTGACCCAAGCTGCTTAACTTACAGGCTGTGAGAGCTTAGGCAAGTCAGCGCCAGGCCTCAGCTCCCTCCTACACAATGGCTTGACTCTTGTGGCCTGGTACAAATCGGGCTAGACGTTCGCTGCTGTGGTCTCTGCCAACTCCAGGGATGCTAGGATTCTGTAAAACAAAGAGTTTGGAGCAAATGACCTCTAAGGTACCTTCCAACACAATCATCCTACATCCTAAGAGCACATATGGGACAGGGAAATGTTCTAAGTTGCCTTCCAGCTCTGCTGTTCTCTGCTCCGAGATCTCTCCCAGCTCTGACGTTCTATGTTCTCTAATCTCTCCCAGTTCTAATGTTCTGTGCTCTAAGGTTCCCCCCCACACTCTGCTGTTCTCTGCTCTAAGACCCCACCCAGCTTGGCCATTCTAAGCTCATGTGCAATATGGTTGCAAAGGTGGCTGGGGCCTTAGACATCTGGCTAAGGGGTTTGTCTTTGAATCCCAGAGTCAACAGGGAGCCACTGGAGTTTATGGAATAAGGGAGTGCCATGGTCACAGAGGTGCTGCAGTTGTGAAGGGGAAACATCAAGTCCCATAGAAATGGAACTATGAAGACTAAGAGAAGGGGAGTGGATTCAGGCTCTTGGGATATCATTGGGATCATCATTTTAAGGCATCCTTCAGTTGGAAACCATTCGCTGTCCCCAGAGGGAGGCCAAATCCAAAGTTTGCTAGTAGGGCTGGGGATAGGGAAGGTGGTGGGAAGAAGGGGGAAGGGCAGGTTTATCTAGGAGAGTCACAGACCTTAAAGGGTGAGAGGGGCATCTAGTACAATCTGCTCATTTATAAAGGAAGAAACTGAGGCCCAGAAAGGCAGGTGAAGTGACTTATGAGTAGGAGAGTAGGAAGCTAGCACCAAAGGCTCCCAGCTCCAATCTCCTTACCTTTCTACTATCTCACAGAGCTGCAGAGGCCCTTAGCAATCAGCTAATTCAGTCACTTACTTTCACAGCTGGGGAAGTGAGATTCAGAGAGGGGAAGAGACTAACCGAAGGTCACACAACTAATGAGCAGGGCAAAGGCAGGACTCAAATCCAGGTCTTTGGGGGGTTTTAATTTTTCGTTTTTTAAAAAATCCTGAGGAGCAGCTAGGTGGTGCAGTGGAGTTAGAAGGACCTGAGTTCAAATCCACCTCAGACACGTGACACTAGCTGTGTGATCCTGGGTAAGTCACTTAACCCCATTGCCTAGCCCCCCCCAAAAAAAAGCCTGACCCTAACAAACATCAAATACGGAATCCAGGGCTTCTGCTGCATAGTCTAGCCTTCTTGCCACCACTCCTGCCCTCCCCTCCTCCCTGCCTCCACCACACACCCAACCTCTTCCCCCCTCCCTGTTTCCCTCTGGGCAGCCTCGGTCTGGGGCCCAGAGAGATCCTGTGGTGGCAGCAGCGGCGGCTGCTGCTGATGCTTGCAGCCACACACTGGAAATCCCAAGCCTCTGGGCCAAAGCACATGTAATGCTCAGAGCTACAGAAAGACAAAGGGGCCGGCGGCAGCAGAGATATGTCTAATCACCAGGAGAGACAAAGTCCCCTGGAGGCCATCTCTGCCAGCCCAGCATGCACCCCTTTGCCGCTCTGCTGCAGAGTGTGCCCGAAAATCCCGGAGCGTGCTGCAGCCCAGACACATCCCAGAGGTACCCGGAAGGGCCAGATGCACAGGGCAGACTGGTGGGAATCGTTGTCAGAACTCCATTTGATACAGCTCTTCACAGTTTACAAAACACTGTCCTCACAACATATGAAGGAAAACGATGCTGCCTAGCAGACAACATGGGCCCTGCCATGACGGCGCTAGTGAGCTCCCAGTCCAGTAGAGGAGAAAGAGGACTAGCCTTGGCATCCACAGACCTCTGTCTGCCAGTAATCCCTCCTGGCATGCTCTTGGCCAAGCTGGACTAACGATAATAGCTTTCCTTTCTCTAGCTCTTTAGGGAGTACAAAGCACTTTCCTCACAATGAGCCTGCGAGGAAGGCAGTGCAAGTACTATTGTCCACATTTTACAGTGAGGGAAACTGAGGCTCAGAGAAGTAAACTGCCACAGCCATATGGCTATGGCTATTTAAGTGCTGGAACTGGGAATTCTCACCCAGGTCTCCTGGCTCCCAAATTTCCCAATGCTCTTGCTACCACCCTAAACAAGGTTTCTTCCAGAGCTTACATTCTATGAGCCCTTAAGTCACTAAGATTAGGACTCCCTATGAGAACCAGTTCTACTGAAATCCAGTCACTTGGTAATGACTCAACTTCAGGGCTTGATAGAAGTCCTGCTAATCATAACTCTCTGCAGGTTCCTACCCATATAGCCAGTGATTTCCTGCCTTCACTCCAGAAGCAGTAGCAAGAATGCCTGAGAACACATCACCCTTCCTTCTAGCCCATGCTAGCAGAGAAGGAAGTTTCCCAGAAGCCCCTGCTCCAGCTGAGACTCAGATATGGCGCTTAATAAACATTCGATGACAGCTCAAGATAACCCATTGGTTGAAAATTCCAACACTGTCAAATGCACCCGGGGTTCAACGCTAATAAATCAGGCAACCTCTGTGTGAGTCTGTCACCTGTCATGGGGAAAGGATTAATTGAGGCACAAGGGAATGTCTGTGCTATGTATCACTTACCCTAGGGCCTACAAAGCTAAGGTCAATTCAACGGGGACATGATTACCGACCTGGGCATCAATAAATGTTGCTTTGGCAAACCCTCCAACGGGAGGTGCTGAGACTGTCGTGTAGACAACCTAGTGAGAAAACCACCCCAGCCCACTGCAGTGTTTGACAATGCTGGCACCTCAGCCTCCTCATCAATTAGCTTTCCTACCCCATCCCAAGGGGCCCAGTCCAAGTGCCATCTCCTCCAGGAGGGCTTCAGTGACTACTCCAGTCCACAAGGATCTTGACCACTTTGGTCACCACTCATCTGTCACTTGTATCGGTTGCTGTTGTGTGTGTGTGTGTATGAAGGCCCAGAGGTCAGATCGGGTAGGGATCTTAGGGCATAGAATGTCAGAGTGAGGAGGGATCTTAGAAAAGAAAACAGCAGAGCTGAGAGAAGCCTTAGAATGTAGAACATAGAATTTGGGGCCAAAGGGAACTTTAAAGGATAAAGCACAGAATGTAGTCCAAACTCATTTTGAAGGAGAAAACTGAGGCTCATAGAAAGTCCTCCTTCACAAGCCACCGTCCCACAGCTGCTGAGTCGCAGAGCAAGGATTCCCAGCGTGGACTCTCAACCCTGTGCTCTCCCCAGTACCTACAGGCCTTCCCCAAATTCAGGATCCTCCATGTAGAAAAAGCAACCGGGGAGGACACGAGAGCACCATCAGTCTCATTACTTCTCCAGGTATTTTACAGAGGAGCCGGGAAATGACACACAACCACCACCTTCTCTATCCATTAATAATGCGGGCTTCTGCCAGACAAAAGAGGTAGACCATGTGCTCTAATTAGAAAAGCTTGGAACAGCCCAAGGCCGGCATTCCCCTCCTTCCCAAACACACACACACGCACACGCGCACACACACACACACACACACACACGCACACACACGCACACGCACATACACTCACAGCATTCCCCAAGAGGAGGGCCCCTCATCAGCACCAACCTCGATTTACAAACCCATTACCAAAGCCCTTATTTCCTAAATGCCTCTGACAGGAGGAGGGGTCTGAATGCACAACTCCGAGGAACACAGCAGCCAGCTGAACATGGAGCACAAGCCTGTTTTTTCCCCTCTACAGCAGAGCAGCTGTTTCCACTTAAGCTGAGCACATTTCACTGGATGAGGAGAAGAGTAAGCCATGTGATGGTTACATTCCCCCCCCCCAGCCCCACCCCACCCCCAAGCTCTAGTTTCTGACTGCCTGAGCAATCTAATCTCTCCTGCAGGTTCCCTGCATCAAATGCTATTCTCTGACCTGACGTATGTGACCTACCTGGCTGATCGTGGGATATCATTTTGGGGATTAGGCCTCAGTTTCCTCATCTGTCATATGAGGGCACTGGACTAGATGGTCCCTAAGGTCTCTTCTGACTGTAAAAAGTCTGCGTTCTAAGCCTATTCCAGTTCCAGCATTCCACGATTCTAGGATGTCAATAGGTATAGCTCCCTGACTGTGCTGGACAGCTCCCAGTGCTAGGGAGCTAACTCAGTACAACATAGCCTTCTGCCATCGCTCTTCTCTCCCCCTAGGCAAGAGTTAAAATTTTACCTACTCAGAAACAGAGCAGAGAAACGCAAGGTCTGATTTTTCTCTACAACATAAGAAAAGCTAGCAGGAGAATCAGGGCTGGATTTGCCCACCGCCTGGAATAGAGGGACAATATTCCCTTTCCCTCATAGCTGAACCTCCCTTGAAGCCTCTTAACAAATTGGTCGACCCTCAGTGCTTCCCCCCCACAACCTTCCCTGTGCACCAAAGGATGGGGAACATCTGGGCCCAGGAAACCATAGCAGATCCAAGCTCTCAACAGGGAGGAGGGAACTAGGACCCTGGGCCTAGAAATAGTAACTCACATGTCTACGGTATTCAGGGCTTGCCAAACACTTTTCCTTACAACAACCCTGTGAAGCAGAGAGTACAAGTTATCTTAGTCCCTGTTTTTCAGATGAAGAAACTAAATTGTATAAAAGGGAAGGGAATTGCCCACAGTTCTACAGTTATTTACTGTCAGAGCCCAGGTTCCATAATTTCAAACCTAGTCTTCTCCACTATACCAACTACAGGAAGAAGTCTGAGAAGGAGCTGTCCAGAACAGGCCTTTTGACAGGCTGATGGAGCCTAGGGGGACCCCTCTCAGAATAATGGTTTTAAGTGTAGAAAATAAAAGAAAAAGAAAACTAATTATATTAAAATAAAAATGTGATTTTTTTTTTTTTGCCATCACAGCCTCCCTGAAGTCTAACCCAGGTCAAGACCTCCTGCTCTAGGAACTTAGAGAAATCAGAGAAATGAGCCCAAGGAAGCAGTGTGGGTAATGGCAAGAACACTGGATTTGGAGCCAAAGATTTGAATCCTTACTCTGCTACTTGTTAGCTGCATGATGATGGATCAGGAAAGTCATTTCCCCTCTCTGGGCCTCAGTTTTCTCCTCTGTAAAATGGGTTTG